AGGGTGGGCGAGCCAGGGAGCAGGGTGGGCGAGCCAGGGAGCAGGGTGGGTGGGACCTGTGTCCGACGCCTGTGTCCCCTTCCCTTACGGGACACGGAAAGGCGGGGTCCTGGGGAGTGTCGGCCTCGCTGGGGCAAGGGCAATGGAGTCATAAGGGAGGTCCCTGAGGGGTCCCACTCAAGCTCCTCCTCCAAGGAGGAAGGAGCAGTGGCTGGACTGTCTGGGCTCTTCTTGGGGACTGGGACCAGGGTTGGGGGGACCGGAGCAGGGACCGGGACAGGCCGATGCTGGTGCGGAGCCTCGAGCTGAGCAGGACGCAGAGGCCTAGGAGCCGTGGGCGTGGCCGGCGGGCAGGGCCGCAGGCAGGGCGGCGGCATCAGGCAGGGCCGCGGGCACCTCGGGCGTGCGGCCAGCAGGGGGTGCCTTAGCGGGCACAAAATGATCCCTCTTCCACCAAACTTTACAGTTGGCACAATGCAATCAGGCAGGTAACGCTCTCCTGGCATCCCTCAAACCCAGAGTCATCCTTCAGACTGCCTGACAGAGAAGCCTGATTCATCACTCCACAGAACACGTTTCCACTGCTCTAGGGTCCAGTGGTGGCGTGCTTTATACCACTCTATCCAACACTTGACATTGCATTTGGTGATGTAAGGTAGGGCTGCACGATTTGGGGAAAATATCGAATCACGATTTTTCAGACAGAAATTGCGATTACGATTTGATTTGCGATTTAATTTTTATGTCAAGCTTCAGTTCAATATTCAGTGTGTAGTAATTTTAAAACATATGATGCAGCATGAGATACCATCAATATTAGCTGGTCTGTATTCTAATGCAAGGATGAGACTTTAAAGATGTGATGTGTCAAGTTAAATAAAGTAATAATGAAAACAATTACAGCAAAAAGAAAAATGGCGATCTTGCAGGTAACGCTTATTACCCTCCTAATAACACTAGAACCGCCTTCTCCCACGCCAATGAACAAGCAAGAACTACTTAGGTGTATGAAGCCCTTTTGTTTGCGCTACTGTGTTGTTAGCTGCTGTTATTAACACTAATAACACTCAAAAAACCATAATGTTCATAACAGAGTGACTGTTCTGTCCTGGAACCGTAAAGCTGGAAATTTTTAAACGTAGTATGCATTTTATTAAATGTTGAATAAATAGAAGCCATTTATTGGTGATTTCATGTTGGTCGAAGTTTCTGTTTTTTAACAACTGTATATGGTTATTTTCTATACAAATCAATTCAGATGAAACAAAAAATGTACGTGTTTATGGTTGCAAACTCTTTCAGACTCTCACGCAAGAAATCTTACGGCAAATTGATCCATTCTGAACTTAAAATTAGCTGCATCAGAAACGTTACGGCAGTTTGCAAACCCTACAGACTAGATACAAGGTAATAAAACTTACATACATGTAAATGTGTGTGCAGAACAGAGAACAGAAAATCTCACTCCATGCAGCTGACCAAAGTTGCCAACCCTGCATTTTATTTTAAATGAGAAGTAAAATGCAGTTTTCGACTGAAGCAGCTGATCACTCCTTTGCTTTGTTACTCGGACAAATACAAAACGAATGATTAAACATTATATGCATCTCTTTTCGTATGTTTTCTAAACAAGACCATGTGCCCACACCCAACTGTAATAGCGATTAAAGCAATCTATTCTTTTAGTATTTATGTTAAAGCAAGACTTTTATTTTATTGCTGTTGTGGGATTAATCTTTGGAAACACTTAAATTTAATAAGCATAGAAACATATGACATAAACACGAATGTATTGTGGGTTTTACGGCTCTTTTGGAGGTCACCGACTCCGCTGCTGTGAGAATTACTGACTATCTCGTTGTTTTGATGGGTTAGTGGCATACTAATGCTATTGCCTATTAACAAAAACCAAAGGTATGATACGCTGAAGTATATTGCAGCTGGTGTTTAAAAGGAGCTCGCCGGTTCTATTGATTATAGGACCTTTCTGAAACAATCTCGGACCATGAAATAGGAAGGCAATTCACTTATAGCTCAGTAGCGAAATCAGTATTTTTTCCGCACCGCAAATGCAACATTTTCTTCGGGTTTCACGTGTTTGCTGTTTGTGGGCATGTACTCCGTCGCCTCATCAGAATGACTTCTGATTGGTCAGCATGACTGTCACATAATGAGCACGGCGCTTGTGATTGGTAAGAATGACTGTCACATAGGAAGCACGGTATGAGTTTGGAAAACTATTCTTAGAACAGTTTTAAACCCTGGGTCCGACGTGCTGTATAATGTATGTCCTAAATCGCAGCCTTTGCGATTTGCTAATGGCGTTCTTTCAAATCGCGATTTCGATTTGAAATCGATAAATCGTTCAGCCCTAATGTAAGGCTTGGGGTTAGGATGTGTGTATTGGGGTCAGTGCCAGTGGAATTTTGGAACTCTGCAGTTACTGAGTCAGCAGAACGTTCGTGACTTATATACACTATTTGCCTCAGCACTCTGCGATCCCGCTCTGTTACTTTAAGTGGTCTGCCACTTTCTGGCTGAGTGTCTGTTTTTCCTAAATGCTTCCACTTTGCAATAATACTACTTACAATTGACTGTGGAATATCTATCAGGGAAAAAATTCACAGACTGACTTATTGCAAAGGTTGCATCCTATGACAGTGTCACACTTGAATTCAGTGAGATTTTCAGAATGACCCATCCTTTCACAAATGTTTGTACATTTGACTGCGTGGCTAGGTGCTTGATTTTATACACCTGTAGCAATTGGTCTGAATGAAACACCTGAATTCAGTAATTAAGAGGTGTGTCCAAATACTTTTGTCCATATAGTGTACATTTCCACACTTCAGGGTATTTAGAGACACCAGTTACCCTAACTGGTCTGTGGGAGGAAATCAGACTGACCAGTAGGAACCCATGTGACATAGGGAGATGCTGCCTGTTATACTCGGACAGAGTGGAGGCAGGATTCAAGCCCATCAACACTGGGGGTGTGATAATTATAATTAATAGTGATTGTTATTTTAAGCTTTTGACCTTACTGAGATTATACACATGGGGAGAATTGACTCCACTGTAAAAGTGTATAATGTATGTATTTCTAAGCATCAAGTGTACTGGTGAATATCATGAATTTAGTTAAAGATTTTTAATATCTGGAAGTGCAGCATCGGCTTTTGAGAAGACTGCATTTAAGCCCATAATTCTGATACATTTTAGTTTAGCAGTTTGGTGATTCTTCCAAGTTGATCTTTTGTGTCAAAGTCAGTTGTGCAAATCTGTCTTCCACATTATGCAGATTTTAAAGATAAATAGTAATTAGCTGCATGAGCATTTATAAATACAGTAGTATTAAAGAATTTAAAAAATAATTTGGATTAGGGATGCTCATTTTGACCGTTTAACCGTTAACCGAAAGAATTAATTTTGACCGATTATTACTATCAGTTAAACGGTTTAAAATGTTTTTTTATATATATTTAATTATTATTAGTAGTATGAAGTTTTGTGGCATCTCAGCTGAAGATCGCTATTCACGTTCTAAATACGCTGGGTTTGAATCGCGACCCTGTGATTACAGGCACA